ATTCTCTTCGAGTTGCTCCTTCAAAACATCTAGTTTCTCGTAGACATCGCTTATTCGGTAATCGTGCCACTTTCCAACCTTCTGTTCAATGACAGACGTGCACTCGTCAACTTTAACTTTTAAATTTTGTTGTCTTTGACGTAAACGTAAGAGAACGGTTTCATGGGCTGCAGTCTCAGTTTCTTCGATTTTCACAATGACATTTCTTACTTGTTTCACGTTATTGACAACAGCATCGGGAAGTAATCCTAGCTCTTCGATTTCTCCCCTTGATCGATTTGCTGCAAGCATAACTTTTGCACATGTTTTGTCCCACTCAGAGTCCATGGAGTCCAGTAAGTGCTTTAAGCCGACTTTATCCAGATCAAGACGAATTTTACCAGCCTGAGTGGAAGCATCCTTGTCACGGTTAATCATGTTGTTGATATCAGCAATAAAGGATGGTAAATCAAGTGTTTGTGTCTTGAGAATTATGTATCGCTTATTAAACTGAAGAAAATTTGCAACATACACGCACAATCCGTAGTCTGGATGAAGAAGAATGTCCCTAAAATCTTTCTTTTCGATATGTTGTTCTTGGTGTCCACAATACAGCTCATGTGCGATGTCAAGATCAATATACCCGATATGTTCCACACTGTTGTCATCTGGTTTCAATAGAAGATGATTGTGAATCTCGAGAAGACCTTGTAACTTTTTTTGTTTATTTGTGTTGTTGGACTTCTTTGCTTCTGTGTAATGATAGTTCAACAATAATGGGAAACCGACGAGTTCACACTGCTGACGAGAAACTCTAACGTCAATATCGTCAGTATTTGTGAAATCAGAAAAGATCGGAGAGGAAAGCTGTTCTTCAGTTTTTTCGTTCATATTGCTATTGCTATTGGTGGTTATATATAAAGGTCTATAAACGTATACAGTATGAAGATTAATGATATGCCCTCTCTATACAGTATGAATAATCAGAGATGAATGATGATGCCTTCATGAGCCCATGATACCGGTAGTTTATAATTCAAGTAGGCCAATTATAATGTGTAAACATCGGACCCACATCCCGAAAATAACCATAACGCTATAAACCGTACACATACCCACTGCTATAAAGATACCCCCATAAAACCTCTGTGAACTGTGAGACGTTTCTCATTTTCATTATAGTTTAATCTTAACACATTAAAATTGGGGCTACTTCAAGTATTAGAACCGCATTCTCTTACCCAGACCACTGACCCATACTCGTACGGCTCACGAGGAAAAAATCAACATGGCCGAAGTTGAGAGTGCTTTGCACTTTTCAGTGATTGAATGGCTCACATTGTGTGGCTTAAATGAATTTCAAACGCATTTTTCAAGTGAAGGATACGACGACTTAGACGTTATTGCTGAAATGACAGCCAAAGACATTGAAGATTTAGGCATTTCAAAGAAGGGACATGTAAAAAAATCTTGCTCAGTATTGAGGATCTGAGAAAAAATCTGCGGGGAAAAAGAATTCAACAGAGACTTGCTCCTCCAACTAAAAAAAGATTGGTTCAGTTAGGTATGCTATGAATAATACTGCAAGAGTATTAAAAAACTGTGGTATAACTCGCCACTTAAGCCCACTTGCTCTATTTATAATAATGAACATACAGTGAACTACAGAGTAAATTATTTACAGGCAGCAAATTATAGATTTTGTTTGCCAATTTCTATATATTTAATACTCGTGTAAACATTACTGTATTCCTCTGACAGGAAGCAATGACTGCAAGCAATTTTACTGAATATTTAAATGTTGACACATTGTATGAGAAAAGGTTAATTTATAGTTCTGTTTTACTTTGTGGTATAGTCCTTCCATGCTCATCTAAGGCACCTATTCCAGACGAACTACCACACACAAAGTCCAAGTGGTGGTACACAAACCCACAGCACCCTCGAACAAAATATTTCAATGAAATCCTACCAGCTATATTTGCAGCAGCCAGACCTCATATGAGTGAATCTGTATTTGAAGCCTATCTATTTAAGGAGCGTGGAAGACGGTGGCAAATAAAATTAAAGCTTGAAAAACTTGAAAGAAAGCTCAATTACCTCTTGTCGGAAGATAACAATGCATGTTTCGGGAACTATTTAATTCCTCTTGAAAATTCGAAAGCAACAGATATTGACCACTGCGAACGTGGAGTAAAAGAAATATCATTGATAGAAGAAATTGTGTTAAAAGAAAAGTCAGAGGTTCGAAGAAATTATGAAATGTTGTTTGACAAGAAGGGCCAACAGTGTAAACCATGGGCAAAAGAGCAGCGACAATATTATGAGACATTGCTGGAAAATTTGAATTTTCTGCTTGATACCACAGAAGATGCTAAATCCAAACTCAGCTTGAATCTTTCTACAAGCAAAAAGGCTTTTGCTGCTATTGCATCCAGAAAAAAATCTAGCCTGGTTAAAAGAAGAAGAAAGGAAAACAAGAGAAAGACAAGGAAGCGAAAAAAGGAAAGAGAAGAATCTGCTGTGAAACGTCTAATGGAACAACTTGTTGATAATTACACTTTCAAAAACCTTTATTTTCCAGATGGATATTGCAAGGAGACAGGAAGTCAGCATGCCATCACAGAAGATGAGTTGAATCTAGAAGTTCTTCAAAACTTAAAAACAAAGTCAAGTATTAGAGTATTAGAACTTCTATACAGTCAAAGTTGCTTTGCACTTGATGCTCTCCCTGTAATAGGGCAAACCATGGACAGACTGGAAGCCCAATAAGTCATATGATCTCATCTGCTGTTATACTTGCTGTGTTCTTGTTTTTGAAAAGCCACCTTCAAATTGTTGCTTTATATCAATAAAAGATATTATAATTAATAAAAGAGGAGTATTTATATATATATATATATATATATATATAAAAAATCAGGTTTCCATTTGGTCTTGGCGATTGTAACCATGTCAAGATAGCTGATGTATAAATAATATATTGTCAATTAATCTCTGCAATCAGTAAAGACTGATTTCCATACAGCACACAAAAGACAAGATAAATCCAGACTATTTCACATCAGTGACCATATTAATTTAGTCGGAACATTTACATCCAAATTTACAACTGGGCTTGTTAAGCAAATTCCTTCAAATTTAATTGCAACCCCCCCCCCCATTTTCCCCCAAAAATTTAATAGCCCCCCTTCTAGCCATTGGCTGCATATGCCCCATACTTTCCTCCTCCCTCCTATCCCTTATAGGTATCTTTATGTCCAAATGTAACCCTCACCAAAGGTCAGCAAAGTGTGGTCAAATCAAAAAGAACTTTAAAAGAATTTGTCTATTCGATAATGGGAATGATATGGTCAAGAGACATCCTGTGTTCGCATTCCATTACTGGAAAGGCATCAAATGCATTTAAAGATAAAGATGCAAAGCCACAGTTGGACTCGGAAAAAGTCAAGAGCTTATGTGGTAATTAGCTTTTGTTATCATTACTTTTAGCAAGTATATCTTTATTTATCCTGTGAATTACACCCCAACATGAATTCCAAATTAATAACACTTGTAACTAATTTCCTTGCTTCTATGTTATAGAGTATGGTGCCAGAAGGTTTGGGTGTAAAGAAGCCGAGGTTAGACCATAGATATCTTATATACACTAGATAGCGCATCTCTTTTAGTAAAATTGAAGCCAAGAATATTCCAGCGGTTTCCCCCATTTGTATAGATGGCGGCCATGTTGGTCGTTCCCACTTGCTAATAAACACTTTAAAACAACAATAACTTTCATCATTTGAATAGTTTAAAAACGTATTTGGAATAGGGTTAACTTAATGTTTAAGTTCCCTGTTTAAGAAATAGAAAACATACGAATCTTCTCATTTCATGGGAACGACATGAGACTGCAATCACTGCTTCAATTTTTAAATTGCAGAATAATTAGATGCACTATCTAGTGTATATAAGATATCTATGGGTTAGACAAGTGATGATGGCAAGAATGAGTAACATTGTGAAAGTGGAGAAAGCAAAACTAAAAGCTGAGAGTAAATGAATGTTGCAATACAGTCAGTATAATATGCTATTTTCAGTTATAAAATTATATTTCACCTTGACAAATTTATGACAAATGTAAACCTATATGTGCAGCGTTAGGCTTCAAAAAAACGGAATTTTAGAGGCAATAAACCAACAGTTGTCTGCATAGAATTACATTTTGATGAAATTTTGAATTGTTAGCATTTAAAAAGGGAGAATTTGCAATGAAATTGTCAAGCTTTAATTTCATCTTAAATGACTATGCCAGCAATATATCCTACTGTGTTAGAACAGACCTCACAGTTACTATAAAATTATTTTAATTTTACGCTTCTTAATTAATGTATCAATTAGTTTTATGTGCAATAAAAACCTACCAATGTAATTTGCATGACTTTGTTTCGTATTGCATAATCTATGCCATATCTTATTGCATATTCTATAGGATCTTCTATAGGATTATCTTTTGTAGGATTACATCTACAGCATTATCTGTAGAACATTTTATAGAATATTCAATAGATGATTCTATAGAATATTATCTAAGTTATTCGATAGCATCTTCTATTACAATTCAATAGCATGTTCTATAGAACGGCAATTGATAAAACTAGAATAGTGAAGCGAATAGTGCGAATAGTCGACGAATAGTACGAATAGTCGACGAATAGTGCGAATAGTCGACGAATAGTGCGAATAGTCCGCGAATAGTCGACGAATAGTACGAATAGTCCGCGAATAGTCCACGAATAGTCCACGAATAGGCGACGAATAGTACGAATAGTGCAATAGAGACTTTGCAAGGCTTTGCAGCAGTGCTGTAGAACTAAATTTACCGGGGGGGGGCTCTGTTGACAAACATGAAATCGTGAAAACATTCGTCGACGTACGTCAATGACGTCATACGTCTAGTGATTGTCATCAGTGGCGCCGTGGCCGGGGGGGGGGAGGCATGGCCCTCCCCTATTGTTGACACCCGTCATAAAATTGCCAATGCTGCCGGAAATTGTCGGAAAATTGTCAAGGCTGTCGGAAATTGTCAAAGTTGTCGACGGGGGGGGGGAGTGAAGATTTAAAATGTTGTCGTCCGGAAAACTTTTTGGTTTGTCGGAAAAATTTTTCGGTTTGTCGGAAAAGTACTGCCCTTGCCCCCCCCCCAAAAAAAAAACATGGGTCCCACGGCGCCACTGATTGTCATTCTACTTCCTGTTAAATATTTGTTAAAACTCAGTGGTCCCGTAATTTTTACCGATTACGTATGACGTCATTGACATCAACGAATGTTTTCACGATTTCATGTTTGTCAATAGAGCCCCCCCCCGCCCCGCTTCGGTAAATTTAGTTCTACAGCACGGTGGAAAGCCTTGCAAAGTCTCTATTGCACTATTCGTCGACTATTCGTACTATTCGTCGACTATTCGCGGACTATTCGCACTATTCGTCGACTATTCGCGGATTATTCGTACTATTCGTCGACTATTCGCGGACTATTCGCACTATTCGTCGACTATTCGCGGACTATTCGCACTATTCGTCGACTATTCGCGGACTATTCGCACTATTCGTCGACTATTCGCACTATTCGCACTATTCGCTTCACTATTCTAGTTTTATCAATTGCC